GAGAAGAGAGAGAGAGAGAGAGAGAGAGAGAGAGAGAGAGGAGAGAGAGAGAGAGAGAAAGAGGAGGAGGGGTGGGAGAAAGAGAAACAAAAGGGAAGGGACAGAGAGAAGCCCCCAAACCCTCGGATGTGAGATGAGATGGAGTCAGGATTTTGGTTTCTTGGGGGTCTAGTCTGCCTGACAGAAAAAAGAAAGTGCCAGCCAGGAATGTGGAAGGGACAAGCAGGATGATGGGGACAGGAGAGGATGGTCGTCAGGAAAGCAAGGTGCCTGGGGAAGAAATTGGGGGTCAGAAAATGGTTATAGGGGAGCACATGGGCACAGCTGGGAAGGGAGTTGGTTATGCTGGTCTGCTGTGCACTCAGGGACCTGGGCTGTGGGTGGTGGGGCCCTAGGACTGGCCTCAGATCCACCTGGAAGTGGGTGAAGGAAGCGGCCGCAGGCAGGAAGAGCCAGCTGTGAGATGCCTGCTACCAAGCGCTGCAGGGATAACGCACGCCCCACACGCTGTATTGTTCAGTGAGTGCGATGTCGGTGCAGGGTGTGAGTGAGATTATCCCCGTCCCCAAAGAAGCAGGGATCTATGAGAGGTGAGGATTTGCCCTGGCCACCCAGTGAGCAGAAGGCACAGCTGGGGAGCAAACCCGTGTCCTGTCCCAGAGCTTCTCCCGCCCAACACTTCCCGAGGCATCTTTCTGAACCTTCCTCAGGGAGATTCGCCCCACACGTCTGGAATTCACTGGTCTTTCCCCCAACTAATCTACCTCTACTAAGCAGGTTCCTCTCCATAACCATGCAAGGCTGTACTTGTATTCTTCCCAGGGAATCATGCCTGCCCCACAAGACCACTACTGCTGAGATGCTCCCCTCTCCCAGGGCCCCCTCTCGCGGGGGTGTAAGGGCCACTCAGCTCCCCTGCCTCCAGGCCCCAACCACTGGCTTACCTTTGAGAGGAGTCAGCAAGCGAGCCTGGCAGGGTCAGTCCGCGGGGTGTTCTGGACAAGATCTGTTCACTTCAAACCATGAGTCTATGCAACTGATAGGGAGGCGGCAAGGGAAACATGTCACCAGCTAGTTAGGGACTGGCTCCAAGGGCCAGGTCTCTGAGCAGAGGATTCCTAACTCTTGCCTGTGAGGACCCCAGACACCCACTTTCTGAAAGCAGGAAGAAGGGAGGACACCCAGAAGAGTCCTGGCTCAGCTGGAGGTCTGGTGTGGTGGATATGGGACTGGAATGGACACTGGTACTGCACGAAGCAAGGACTGTGTCCTCAAAAGGGACCAAGACCTCACATGCATGGAGCCCAGGAGGACGGGCACAGCCCCCAGCAAGGTGAGAGCGGGTGGTGTGCGGACAGCCAGCCAACCAGCTCCAAGGCTCAAAGGACAAAGAAAGTGGGAATAGAGACCTGGCAGGCTGGCCGTGGCTCTGCCCTCTGGTCCTGAGACAGCCCTCTTCTGGGCTGGAGGAGGAACCTCGTGGCCCCCTCCCCAGTGGGTGACTTCTCAGAAGACTCCAGCTCTACAGGGCTCGGATGGCTGTGATCAGTAGCCGGCATTTAGCCCTTCCTGGAAAAGGTGGCCAGGGGAGGACTGACCCTGTGGCTTAATGACATGGCTCAGGAGAGTCAGATGGGGGGCTGATGGTGAAATTCTGGTTTCCAGTGTTTATAGAAAAGACTGTCTGAACCCGGGAGGGAACAAAAATTGCCCCAAGACAGCTTTCTGTGAGCCAACAGCTGGGTATTTTCAAAACAGGAACCAGACAGATCATTTGCATAATTCTGCCCCAGAGCCAAAGATTCCCTTCTTCTGGTTCTGGGTAATGCTTCCCTGGGACACTGGAGCTCTCTGTGCTGGGCCCAGGCCAAGACTCCCCCCAGTCTCCACCTGAGCCTCCCTGGCACCAGCCACATCCACATGCCACCTTGAGCCACATCCACATGCCACCCTGTGGCCAGTGGCCCCATGAGCCAGGCTTTGGAAAAGCCTGTGTGTCAGGAAGCAGCTCTGGAGCTCCAAGAGCTAAGAGCAGGTGGCGGCCACGGGCAGCACAGAGCGTCCTCCGTCCTGGGGAAGGAGGTGTCTTCTTTCCAGTTGGAAACAAGAACGAGGCTCCTACTGGAGCCTGAGGACGAATCTCGGCCCTGCTAATTATAGCACCTCACAGTGCCATGGCCCCCCAGGTAGTGGCTGTTCCTGCCTGCTGGGCCTCTAGGGAGAAGGGGCGGTGCAGGGCGGCCAGCCCCGCCTCCTCCCTGGGCCACCGCTCCTGCACAGACGAGGGTCCGCACCCTGTGGCACAGAGGGGCCCGCAGTGGAAGGAAAGGCTCACAGAGACGGATGAGGATTCACCCTACCAGGCGGCATCCCCAGCACTCCCACCTGTGGGGCTGCACATGTCTCTCCGACAGCCCCCACCACCCAGGCTGTCAAAACCAAGTAAAACCTCAGACAACTCCACTTGGCCCCACGCTCAGCATACCCAGACCTTCCCACTTGCTGACCTCTGCTTCCACCCCTCGAGTCCTGGTGGACAGAGTGGCTGGTGACGACCACCCCCCTCCCCCACACAGGGAAGGAGCCCTCCGGGGTCTGGGGTGCGGCTGAGATGGCCCTGCCGACCCTCTCGTACCTTTTGTGATAAATGCACAGGCAGGGCAGCCTGGCTATCGTGTCCCCCTGAAGCAGCTCCTCCAGGCAGATCACACACTCACCCGCGTCTTTAGTCAGCACGTCATCTGCAAAGGGGGGATGGGAGTGGGAGAATTCAGTCACCGCAGGCAGGTGCACACAGCAGGCATGGATCTAGAGCTGGCTGGGACCGCTTAGGTCGCCTGAGGTCTGCGAGGCTCCGTGGGGGACACAGAAGCCCCAGAGGAACCATGATGTGAAGGCCCTCAGTGTGGAGACAAGACATGCGAATTATCTGAAGGCAAAATGGGATTAATCACCAAATAAGAGGCGCAGACAATGGAGGACGAAAAAGGCTTGCAGAGGGAGAGACACGTAGCAGAGGCAGCACAGGCAAAGTGGTTCCCTGAACAGACTTTTCCCCTAAGCACACACACACAGACCAGGTGCACTGATTTCTGTTTTGAAAAAATAAGGTGATGGAGACAGTGGTGCGAGGCAAGGAGGGATGGAAGAAACATGCATGCTAGCAAATACAAGTACAGGCACGTCCATGGCAGCACTGGGCACAAAGCCAAAAGCGGGAACAACCGGCATGTCCACCAGCTGATGGAGAAATGACAAGTGTGTGCCCCCAATGGAGTACTACTCAGCCAGGATGAGGGTGCAGAGCTGATGCGTGCTGCAACATGGGTGCACCTCAAAAACGTGATGCTGAGTGAAAGAAGCCAGACACAAAAGGCCACCTGTTGCATGATTCCATTTATGTGAAATGTCCAGAATAGGCAAATTCATAGAGACAGAAAGCAGGTCAGAGGCTGGGGGCAAGGAGGGGATTGGGGGATGACTGCTTAATGAGTAAGGGATTTTCCTTCTCTTTCTGTGGCAAGAACACTTAACATGACTTTAAGTGCACAGCACAGAACTGTTAACTACGGGCACCATGCTGCAGAGCAGACCTCTAGACTTACTCATCCTGCATAACTGAAGCTTTCTACCCAGAGTGGCAACTGCCCATTTCCCTCTTCCCAAACACTTCCCACTCTCTGGTCCTATGGGGTTGACAACTTTCGGTTTTTCATGAGTAGATGGACTCATGTGAGGGGTTCTTTTCTGGAAACTAGATAGAGATAGTGGTTGCACAACATTGTGAATGTCCTAAATGCTATTAAACTGTACATTTAAAAATGGTTTTAGTGGGGAGGGGATAGCTCAGTGGTAGAGTGCATGCTGGGCATGCACAAAGTCCTAGGTTCAATCCCTAGTCCCTCCGCTTAAAAAAGTAAAGCAAATAAATAAATAAACCTAATTACTCACCCCCCCATTTAAAAAACTGTTTATATTGTATGAATTTTAACTCAATTAAAAGAAAAAAACCCCACACACCCACAGAAACAGAATGAATGGAAGGAAGCTACTGCACACCACAGGCCCCTAGTGAAGCTGTGACCGCAACAGCCCGAGCAGAACAGGGAGAGAGTGCTACAGCCAAGTCAGCAGGCTTCACTGCGTTTCTATGACATTCTGGGCACCAGCAATTCAGTGAATAAGCCATGATCTCAGGATCCAAGAAGCTCAAAGTCTAGCAGGGGAGGCTGAACCAGAAACGGAAATGAACAGCACAGGAATTTCTAAAAGTCTTACAATGCAATAGGCCCAGGGGTGAGAAGTATGGGAGATGCCTAACTGGGGTGGGGACAGTTCAGGGAGAGATTTCTAGGCACAGGGGAGAGCATCTGTGCACCTGGGAAGGCAGGACATTTGCTATGGGAGGTAGAAGTCATGGGGCCACAGCAGGAGATGAGACCAACTTCCTGAGGACAGACTTGTGTCCCACTGCGCTGCCTGGGTTTTACCTGGTTCACTGAAGGGTCCTGGGGACTTGGAGATGCACTCTGGTCTCTGGAAACTACTGGGAATAACTGGAAGAACCCAGAGATGGGGAGCCCACCCTGGAGGCTAATGCAGGGCTGCAGGAGAGATGAACTCAAGGCCGGCACCAGTGATGGGGACGAAGCGGGTCACACTAACAGGGGCCCTGGGCAAACAGAAGGTGCTCATCTCAACAAGAAGGAGCCCAGGGGGAGGCTGGGCTTGGGAAGGAAATGGTGAACTCAGAGATGGGTGGGAGGTGCTGGCCAGGCAGCTACTGGGACTGGCTAATGGAAACCTCCACGAGTCCATTCAAGTCCAGATCTGGGGTTTAGAGGAGAGATGTGGGGACAAGGTAGATGCCACATAAAGAGATTAGATGAATCCAAAGAAGGCAGACGACTGAACCCAGGTGAACTCTAATACCCTCTGCGTGGTGCCCTCAAGCCATTGCTGTTTCTTTGCCCTCTTTACTTTAGTGGAAGGGGAACCATCTGGGGCCCATAAATGAGGATTCTTCGTGGCCTAGAAGGCTATGGTGACTCAGGGCCCTCCATTAGGGACGCCAGAGATGGAAATACTCAATACTTAAGTCCCTGTGCATATGAGCTGGGAGAGAAGTCACTTTCAGCTTCCTGGCCACCAGGACAACCTGTGGCCACTGTCTTTATCTGCTAAGATCTGCCTAACCCAAAGCCCACCTGAAAGGACGATGTGAACAGGAAAAGCAGACAGCACAGCCGGTCTGCTGTTGGACTGTAACCTCAGATTCCAAACATGGCAAGTGGCAGATCTATAAAAGGGTACGATCCCATTGTTTTCTTAAAGCACTGGATGCCATACATATTTAAATATTTGTGTGTGTGTGTGTGTGTGTGTGTGTCTCCATGTGTAAGCACAGAAAGAAAAAAGTCTGGAAGGAAACACACACTTTAATAGTGATGGAGGAAAGGAGGGTTAGAAGAAAATTATTCTTAATGTATTTTTGATATGTGATTGTTTGAAGGTGTATTACTTTTACAATTAAAAACCCTAATAAAGAAAGAGACTGGTGTTTTCATTTTACTCTTGAAATGTATCAAAAGGATAAGATGGATTGGTGCAGCAGAGCAAGAACAGTGTAACACAGAATCCAGATGCGAAACCCTCAACTGTGGTGTACGTCTGACATTTTTCATAGTAAAATACTAGGAGTAAAAAACTCTAATAAAGACAGGAAGAAAAATAGTCCAGCTCTGAGGAGGCAGGTGTACTGCAGACCTTCTTGGGCATGGACTTCCTGCCCGCTTTGTCTCGGTGTCTCCTCTACAAAGTGAGGGGCTGGATACAGCCACCTTCCTGTGCTCATCTCCTCACTTACAGATGACTTCCTCAGGAGCACAGCAACATTACTGATTCCAAATCAGCATCCCCTTCTGACTGGTAATGGCTTTGAGCCTAGGGGGCGGTTAGACTTTTCTGCATGGGCTCCGCTCTCCCTGCCCTGTCAGCTCCAGGAGGGTCCATGCTGAGACAAGGGCAGGGAGCTGGGCACAGGGATGAGGCCTGGGGCTTGCTTCTTTGGCAGGACTGGACCTGACTCTCCTCTCTTTTCTCCCCGGGGATCACTAGGGGAAGGGGAAGGAGGCAGCAGGGTGGTTCATTTCTCATCAAGGACTCAGACTTGAGCACATGGAGGCGAAACACAGCATTTCTTCCTGACGGTTGATCACTATCACACAGCCCTTTATGAAGCATCCTTATGCACAGTGCTCCGGCCTCAGCAGCCAGCCTGGGTCTGCAGCATGGGTGGGAAGAACTAAACTGTGCAGCTGTCCTCCAGGCTGGCACAATAGGAAGCACACTTCACCAGGACCCAGAGCCCTGGCTACAAAAGGTTACTGAAGGTTCCCAGGATGGGGAGGAGCCAGGGCTGGGACCCTGGAGTGCCAGGAGGCAAGCAGCGCCCTCCACCTGCAGCATCTCCCATGGAGCAAGGCAGGAGGAGCACAAACCCGCCAACAGGCCTGAATGGGTTGAAGAAAACTTCCTGTCCCAATCCCTGGGGCTCCAGGAGTCAGCAGCTCCCAGATGTCCCATGTGCCTAGCAGGAGAGTGGAGATGCCTGAAGCTGAAGCTGAAGCCTGGCTATCAGGATAATCCCTGAGATCGCCACACTCTTCTGATGAAAGCCAGCTCTGCCCATGGTTGGAGGGCCTTGCAGCACCAAGCCGAGGACCCCGAGCCCGGAACAGTTGAGGCCACTCTGCAGATGGACTATAACGCCCCTGGGCACTCCTAGGTCCCCAGAGGAGGGGGTCCCAACCAATGCCACTCAAGAGCTTTCTTCCTTTTTCTTACTACCCCGCTTCCCCTGCTCACAGCTTCCTGACCCCCGTGTACAAAGCCAACATCCCCACCCAGGGGGAGTGGCAGTGTGCTTGGCCTGACCGGGGAACCAGCCCAGAGTGGCAGGCAATGCTGTCTGATGGGGCTGGGTGGGAGGTGATGCCCACTTCTGCCTCCTCCCTGAGACAGAGGGGAGGCACTTCTGATAGCGGCTGTTTACCAAAGACTGATCCAGGAGGAGGATAAAAAAGAGCCCTCTCTCCTTCGGCCAGTTATATGCCAGGAATATCATGGACAGCTCAGTGAACCCTAAACACCCTGTGGGGGTCTTTGGATCAACTCAGGAAGCTGCTAAGTGGCCATGACTCCCACGCTAAGTCCCTTCTTCTTGGCCACCCTGCCTCTTTTCCTTAAAAGGCCAGGCAATAGGGTCTCCTCCTTAGAGCTGAAAAACACCACCTATCTTACAGCCAGCTTCAGTTCTTTCTCGTTTTGTGAATGTGAGTGGAGGAACCTAGGTGCTCAGAGTGAACAGGCCAGGCTGAGGGAGCTGCACTGCTGCCCACGAGGGGCACTGGCTTGATATCCCCCAAGTGGGCGCCCAGAGCTGCTGGCAGCATGGAGGGAAGGCTGTTGTGCTGCAGGCATGGAGCCAGCAGCTGGGAGCAGTATCATCCACAATCCATTCCCCCTGTGCCAGATGGCAGTCATGGCCTGGGGGAAGGAAGGTGGGAGCCAGAGGGAGAACCCCCAGCAGATGAGTCAGAGGCACAGATCCACCCCCTGGCCTTATTTCCAGCCTAGGTGCGGAAGAGCCTCGCCTTGCAGCCTCCTCAACTTGCGCAGAGCTGCTGGCGCAGGCTCATGAGGGAAAGGAAGGGGCCGTGCCACCAATGTCAGGCCTCATCAGTTCCCTTCCTGGGAAATCTCCAGGCAAAGGGGAAACTCTGAGTAGAGAGTTCCTGTACCAGCAGTGGCATCTCCACCCCAACCCCAGAGGTGTGAGCCCTCAGGCTTAGAGGGCTTCGTATTTACAGAGGCTTCCCAGTGACCCAACTCAGTACCCCTACCTCCCTTCCCTCCTGCAGGAAGAGCACCCAGACAGACACCTCTACAGCCAGCCAGCCACTGCTGAGCAGGAAACAATAGCTCCTAGCAGTGTCCCACTGGGCCAGGCAAACCACAGCCAGGACCTGGCTCTCTCAAGGCCCAAGAAAAGCACTTCCATTCCAACCACAGGGTCGCTGAGAGCAGAGACACAGGCCAAGTAAGCACTATCCACACAGGTCTGCTGGCTGGGGGTAAACTAACAGGAGGGGTTCCTCCTTTTAGGGGAGCCAGATTCCCTTTCTTTCAAAGAAATCTTGAGTGACATTTAGCATTTCAAGAGCTCTGAAGTTGGGGCAATGACCTTCCTCAGAGAGGAGGGGTGGGCAGTCAGGACCTAAGAAGTACCGCATGGGTCTGCGCCCCCGGCAGAAAGCTGAGGTGAGAGGATCTTTTGAAGCTGCTTTGACGGCCAGCCACCAAGCTCTCTTAATGCTGCTGGCCAACGACCCTGCCACATGCCAGATTCTTGCAGGGCCAAGGACCCCTGGCTGGTCCTAGAATCAGGGCCTCTCAGCTTTCAATGGACAATCGGTCATCTGTCACGACTCTGCACCACAGAGTCCTGTGACTCTCTTCTGTTCATAGCAGAATCAGGCCCCCATCTCCAGGCTTGTTTGGCGAGCTGAGCAGTTTGATGATCAAAATCTGAGTGCATATTCTTGAGGGTGCAAGTTCCCCCAGTCTCAGAACCACAAATGATGGTGGAAAGGGAGAGAAATTAAAAGGCCCCATCAAGTTGATCACATTTACTCACAAAAATGGGTCTCACCAACTCCTTCATCAATTTGAGGAATCCTGGGTTCAGAGCTGCCCATGGAAGAGAATGGAGGACAGCAGATTCCTCACTCCGGAGTCCAGATCCCTTCCAGCCCCTCTGCCTGGGAAAGCGGGCCTCACAAGCTAGTGCCCCACTGGGAGCACCAATAACCAGTTATTGGTCTCTTGAGCACTGGGTGAGCCAGTTAAACTAGTCTTGCCTTTCCTAAATCGGCTTTTTTTTTCTTTTAAATCTGGCAAACGGCTACTAGAGGCCTTCCAACCTACAGCTCAGGCCAACCCTCATAATAAGAAAAATATTACTTTCTATCTGCCTCATTTAGGGGGTTTCTACTTTTTTCCCTTTGGTGGTTAACTAAATTTCATCTTATATAACCACTGTAAATTTTCTAAAAATTTCCCCAATTGGTACCAGCAACTACAAAAGACTCCGTGTGTGTGTGTGTGTATGTGTGTGTGTTGTGTGAGAAATCTCCAAGGGGAGCAATCAGGAGATCTAGTGACTCTTCACAAGAAAACAGCAGTTACTAATCCACTAAGAAAGTCTTACACTGTTTCCTTTCCAGAACGATTCCAAGAGTTCTACCCCTCACAAATGCTGTAAGTCTCTTCACTTTTTTTTTTTTAATAGAAAAGATAAAGTGAAGCTGGGTAGGCTGGGATGATGAGAAATCACTGGTAAAATATGTGACTGGCAAAACCAAAATAAAGTCCTAGAGGTCAGACCTGGGACTTTGGCCTAAGGCCTCAGAAACGCCTGTGCTTTATATAAACCAGAACAGGCCCTAGACCAGCCCCGGAGATTCATGCTCCATATACAAACTCCAAATGCCTTGTTTGTATCTGGAAGGTTTAGGTATCTTTAGAAAAGACAAAGATTGAATGTGAGGAATCCAGCCAGAAGGCCTCCTTTTCGTGTTAACAGTGTACACAGAGGGGGAAAAAACCCCCCAAAAAACTACACAGAGAGGCCAGGCCAGGGTTGCTGAAGTACCTTCCTCATCTTAAGACAAATTCCACTGACGGGACCAGATGCAACACGCCTCTCTTTGCCTCTGGTGGTAAAGGACTGGCTTTTTCAAGAGACGCTCCAGTTTAAAGCCTGTAGTTTGTACTCATATACACATTCACTCACACACTCTTAAGAGATGGCTTTTCAATTAGAGGTGGAGGGAAGGAGTGGGAACTGACTAAGAATAGCCATGGTTAAGCCACAGACTGGTGGGCCAACCTCCCCTTCCTCTAAGGGGATTCGGACTCCAAGTGTGGGTTCTGCAGGTAACCTGGGCTGAGGCCTGCTCCCCCATGGAGGCAAAGATGAAAGGCAGGGGGTCACCTACAGCAGCACTGGCACGTACACGCGAACATGGAAGAGGCGCTGGAGGTGTCATGGGCAGTTCCCGGGCAGTTCTCTGGGGGAGAAGCCCAATGCCCTCACTGCCCCACTGTCCAAGTGGGGCGTGTGGGGCCTCCTCACTCAGGCAGCCCTCAGCACACCCTGCCCTCCACAGCTGCCCTGCCACGTTCTCCCTGATGATGCTGAGAGCTCGGGCCTGTCGGGCGAGTCCACTCTGAGGCTGCTTTGTGTTCTTCTGACAGCAAGCCAGTGTCTCCAGAGGACTCTCCCCAGCGCCCCACGGGACAAAAAGCAGTCTTCACGAGGGCGCTGCACGTGTGGGAAATAAGAGAACAGTTTCTGAGGCCATGGTTGGGAAGGGCTGCCAGCCCCGGGAGAAGACTCCTCTCCCTCCCTGGTTCCAGGTGGAGACAAGGAATGAACAAGTGGAGCTAAACATCCTCCAGGGAACACACCCCGACGACAGGGAGCCCAGAACTCAAGGGGCCAGATTCAGAGACTCGTTATCAGATGGTCCCCAGGGAAGGGAGAGGCTGTCCACTGGGGAGAAGAGGGGCTTTCCCGGACCCCAGGGTGGAGATGACGGGGAAGGACACCTGGGGGCAGAGACAGCTGTTCCTCCAACCTGGTGACAGCAAAGGTCACTAGACTATGTGTAGCTGAGACAACAGGTAACCAGCCCACCAGCCCACGTCCAGGCCTATTGGCTGCACAAGTCAGGAGATAACAGAACAGCAGGACGTGTTTTCAGGAGAATCAAGCAGATTCGATGCGTTAGATCAGTTTTGCAGGAACAATCTCGAATCATCTGGCCTTCCCAGGCCAGTGCTGTGGAGGGAGCACAGCTGGGTCAGAGAAGGCAGGAGCCCAAGGACAGGTCTGTATGGAGAGTCGGCCCATGAGACTTTCGCCGTCAGGATGGCTGTTAAGTGATGAGGGCCTGGCTCCTGTCCCGTCCTCAGATCCTGAGAAATCTCAGAGCTCCTCTCCTCAGCATCGCAGTGACTCTACAGGGTTGGGCACAGCCCACTCAGATAGGGTACCCATCTTCACAGAAGACACAGTTCTCTGAGGAATGTGGTTTGAAGACCACACTAAGCACAAAGGTTGGACAGACCCAGAGCCATGGGCAGCACCGGGTGCCTGGCACCACGGAGCAGTCGGTCCACTGTGGAAATGACAGAAAGAAATCCACGGGTGGCCTTGCATCTTTCGGGGCAGCTGTAATTTCCTGAGCACTGACCATGTGCCAGTCTCAGCACTGAGGGGTTTTATGGGTAATGTCTCACTTTACTCTGACAAAAATCCTGTGAACCAGGTACTCAGCTCCCCATCTTAGGGACCAGAAAATCAAGGCTCTGCTGCCTGAGCCCTTGTCTAAGATGACATAGCCATGGTGGTTGAGGCCGGCTCTGGACCCACATCAGTTGGGCTCCAAGCTTTCCTCACAACAAACCAGGCAGGCGTTGACTTTCATTTTGTCCACAGAGGTGCCGCAGCAGGGGACTGGGGTTTTGTGGAGTCCCCTGGCCCAGTGATCCTGCCCCTGGTTGTTCTCGCTGCTCAACTCCGAGGCAGCCTCCACGGCCAGAAGCAGCACAGCCTCAGTGGAGCGAGCAGGCGGCAGGTCAGCATTCTAATTCCCAAAGGGTGTCCAAAGCGCACACTAATTCTGCGGTGGAGGGTCAGGCTTCAGTGCTTTATACAAACCACAGAACAGACTCCCCTTCCCCAGAGAGAGCTGGCGCTCCTCCAGGCCCTCTGTTGTCTGCTGTGTGACTAGAGGTGCGAGGAACTAAGAGGGCAGAAGAAAGGGCAGGGCTAAAGGGGCCACCCAAGACACTTCCTGACTCAACCTGGTGCCTTCCTCCTCATCCCACCCTCCTCCTTTCCAGCCAGCTAGCGAGGCTCCCTGCCCCATCAGCTTCCTCATCACAGCTTAGGCGGTACTGCCGGAGGCGGGTGGAGATGCGCGTGGAGATGTCGCCCAGAGCCACGTGACGCTGGGGAGACCCTTGCTCAGAGGCACCCCGGCCAAGCCCTTACCATTGTAGGAGAGGCGAGGTTTGCTCAGACACATTATAAAGTGCATTTCCATCTCATCAGAAGCCACAGACTTGGAGCAAATGGGGCACTTAAAACCTGAAAAAGAGGAAATAAAATGAAATGGTTTTTCCAAACCAAGTATATCCATAATAAATGTGGGAACTCTTAAATGACTGAGGCCACGTGGGGTCAGAGTCAACATGGGGGATTACAATTTAGGGCTGATTTCGCCTTCATTGGGCAGGCAAAATTCTGTTGTTTTACTGCAGTCTCCAACTCCCATCTTTCCCCTGAGGCTTACCCTCTCATGCCTCTTCTTGAAGTTTACAAGAAGTCACTGACACCTAATGGCTGAGTTTTATCTTCTTTTAGACCCTTTCCCAAGGGGGTCTAGTGGGCAGCGGGGACAGGGAGCCGTGGAATCAAGGCAATAATCAGTCTTTGAATAAAAAAGAGTTTAGTTTAAAACCCCCTGGGGCTAGGTCACCTGTGGAAGATGGCACCTCCATCATTCACCCAGAGCCCCGTTCCTCCCTGGGGCTCAGGCAGCTGTCCCCTGAGTGTGCAAGCAGCAGGGTGGCCCTCCAGAGCACTCCCAAATGCCACACATGCCTTGGCCACATGCCACCAAGACTAACAGCTGTTTCACAATGACAGGCGACAGACCCTGCTGTTTTGTTCCCGAGGAAGTTTTCTTATACACCCAAGGAGTTTCATTGGAACTGTGTAAGTATTGGAGATTTTGGTTGAGAATCTTCTGGGTCAAACTCCATTAAATAAACTTCGTCCTTTGATCTACTTTTTAATAAATTATTTTTTGATCGGTTTTTATAGATACAGATACACTATTTCCAATTTTCCCCATTTTATTTTTATTAAAATTATTTTCAATTGTATTACTTCTTTTTCAGCTGACACAAAATATCCAATACTATGGAAAAGTTAATTCATTTGTCCACATCAAATTTTACACATCACAGCTTCTCCCTTTTGTGACCATAATTCCTACATTCCGAGTCTGGAATTCCTAGGTCAAACACAGTACATCTAAATACTGTTTGAAGATCTTACTCTTCTGTTAATTTTTAGTCAAAATGTCCCATGCACAGTTTCAGTGGATACTGGTAACACCTACCAGCAATATTTATTACAAAACAGATAAAAGAGTTCATGTTGACTGTTAGCTGCTCCAGGACAAGAGAGGAGTTCACACCACTGTCCTTCCTGAGGGGCCACGTTCATTCTGTATGGAAAGCTCTCCACTCTGACAGCTGGCAGTGCTGAGACAGGAAGCAAGCTGGTTCCCATGTTCTTGGGTAGGGTACAAGCCCTTTGTAAAGTCTTCTCCGACCTCCCTCTCTTCAGGGACAATGTTCTGAGTTACAGGACCAGACAGAAAACCCACAGTCTGGTTTACTCCAGGCAAAGTGGAAATTCTGGATGCCATGACACAGCCCCCGTTCCTCCAACCCTTCTCCTCAAAGATCTTCAGCATCTAACTGTCTTGGCTAGAAAGTGTTGGAAATGTTACTAACCCAAGGACGCTGGCCAACCTTTGAGGAAGGGCTGTTTTTTTCTGATCTCTGGGTGGTTATGACTCCATTAATGAGAAAACCAGAAGAGGGAAAAGAAACATGATGCGGGAGGGTCCATCTCCAGTTTCCTGGCACAGGTAAGTAATGAACCCCAGTCTAGTAAAAATGAGGATGCTCTTCTCATCTAACCTAGGCCCCTCTGTACCCTTGAATCTGACCTCAAGCTTGTACCCTGCACTTAAACCAATACTTACAACATTCCATAGACAGACCAGCCACTAGGAGACTCATTTTCTTTAGAGATTTGTTCACTTTTTTTTTTCCTGATTCAAAAGACCAAGGTTTTGCAACACTTTAAGTGATGCAAAGTACAAGGATGCTTGTACTTTAGACTTGCTAAGTTAGCACCCTGTCTGCAGGCCTAGGTCTCAGGGCTGCAGGCAGGCCAGGGTGAATGTGCTTCTGCTCAGGTCCTCTAAGACCAGGCCCTGACCCAGTCACTGGGAGGTGTTTTGTTACTAAGTGATTTGCTACTAACGAAAAGCTTTACATCTCATACATTACTCATTTTTCTGTAACTTAGAGCAGAATCATGGTTGTCGCTACATTAGCATCATTCAACCCCTCACATCCCAATGAGATTCAAGTTACAGCTATAGTACTAAACATAAGGCCACTCGACAAGAAGGTCTATAAGGGAGAGTCAGCAGATATTTATATTCTAGGGAGAAACAAGGTGAGACTCATAGGTTTAGACCAGTCCTCTCACTGTACAGATAAAGAAAGAGGCCCCAGTTAGCCAAACAACTGAGGGCAGAGACTGAGACCAGAATCAGATTTCTTAGCTACCC